GATAGCAGTGCAAAATCAGATAAACTTAAATCTATGTATTGTGCTATAAATTTTTATAATATTATATTTTTAAAAATAACTGAATTCATTAGGGCGTTTGCGCTCTGTTTGGTTAGACTATTCACATCGTGTTCCTGTCGCCTCAGTCCTCCATTTGAATTTCACTCATCAACAATGGCCAATATGGCAGATTTTCAGATTGACAAATGGGTCCCAGAGACAGACGGTCAGCTCAATGAATCGAATATGATAGCCAAGCTCAAATCTCAGGTAATCATACAACTTTATATTATCAATTTTCCCAATATTTTGAGATTAACACATTCTCCAAAAATTAAGGGCTATCGCAAGGATGCTGTTTACACCTTCCCTGCTGGTACAAGTTTTCCTGATCACAGTCATTCTGTGGACAAAAAGGATGTCGTTGTCTCTGGAAACTTATCATTTACTATGCTTGGCAAAGAAGTGATTTTGGGTCCAGGCGATATGTTATACGTACCGAAAGGTGTTAAGCACTCGGCCTGCGTTCTTGACCAGGATGTCCGTTTTATTGATTGCAGTAAAGCCTGAATGCTTTTAATCAGCATGTCATCTCGGTTATTAAATCCTTTACCCTTCATCTGCTGAAGTCCAATCAGACCTATCATTCGTAAATTAAACTTTTGTCTGCTATTACGACTTCTACCATCAAGAACTATGTTCATGCCTATCCGTCAGTCCACGGTTTTATTACCTCTGCTATTTAGTCGGGTAGTTGCCACTTGCATCCTTTAAGAGTATCTTGGGCTGATATCAATCGAGCGGCGCCCACCAATGCATGGCAATTAACATATCTCAGGAATGCCTCCTGCGAGGTAAATATACCGGAGCCTAATCATGCTCAAGATGTTTGTAGAATACACCAAAAAAATTCGATTTTCAACGTACCTTCTTAGACTAGATTGTTGTGAGGACTCACTTCTTAGGGGGGCACATGATGAAGAGTATCGTAGGTCGGTCTCAACAGAAAATGCAGGCTTATTCCATTTGTACTACAATCGTTTTACATTAATATAACGTTCAGGTTGATGCAGCCCATGATGTATCCTGCAACATTTTGGGCGAAGACGAGTTGAGCTTTCGTCCATCTCGTGATGAGCGGCGTCAGAGCCGG